TGTGCTTTATATTGTAATTAATTGATTAATCTTTTCCAAAAGTGGGATTTACGAACCATTGACAACAACATTCTGACAAATTGCCGCAACAGAATCTGATTTTAAATCAGATTGAACTAGGACAAATTACTGAAAAGGATTTTTTTGATTTAAAAAGGGAAACATTATATCTGTAGCCTTCCATCACTAATTGCTTTAGTTTTCTATTACACCTTTCTGGTACATCTCAAAGGGTTGGAATATTTAAAAGATTCCTGTATTTCCTTTATTACACTTTGCTGCAGGTGGAACTAGTGCCACTAGTGGTTGGCTCTCAATACTCGTAACTTTGTGCTTGCTTTGTGTGGCAGCAGCTAACCTGGAATTTGTCATAAGACAAGCCAGCGAACGAGCGGGTTTTTATTAAAAACTTGCCAACTTGTGAACCTCTCCGCTTTCCACTTTTTCCCACGGTCTCCTTTGCTATCCTTTTGTACCATGAAGTATGCTACATAAGTTTGTAGGTGAAAAATTGGATATAGTAAGCTCGTTCTTTATTTTATATAGTTTAGACGTGTAATTTTATATTTAATCTTGTCAAAAATAATTTGTAAAATATGTATAGATTAAGGATGTCAGAAGAAAATGTAGATTTCAGACTTTAATGTTTAATTTGTAATATTGTAAGAAAAAATATATCCAAGTATCCAAGTTAATGAACTCGAATTGCGGGTCAAAAGTCAATATCCGAGTTTATTTGATATATTTTGAATTCCCATAAATTACAAGGTATTTAGCTGTCGATCAGCACTGTAAATAACCTTTAAACTTGTTACTTTTTTTCTGCCTGTCACCAGGCATCAGGCATCCTCATATTATGCTTTACTTCTCGTTTTATTTTCGTGTTCCCGGCGCCTTTGTTCTGCTCAACCACATGCAACAAAGTCAAAGTTTTCAATCACATGTCAAACGCCGACTTGACTTGGGTGCGATGTGTCGGTAGATTGAGGGTTTGAGGCACGTCTTCGGCTGTGGCATTTTCCACAGTGGCCACATATTGCTCATAAATGTTGAATACTCGGGAGCAGCAGCTCTTATGCCTGGCTCCTTTGGTCCCTGCTCCTTTCACTTTTGGTTAACCGCAGCCGCATGCTGCAAAACTTTCCCCTGTCACAATTTATGTGCGGGACACACACATTCCCCGAGCCCCATTTTAGGAGAAGAGTGTCGCAATCAACTGGTTGAGGTATCCTGGAGATCCGTACAGTCCTTACACACAACATCCCGAAACTGTGATGCCGAGCGATTTGCTTAGCAAGTTATTAATTGCCTGGCCGATGAGAGTGTGCTGACAAAACAGCTGCATAAATAATTAAAATTTTCCACTTAAAAATCACACAGAAAATCAGTTTGTTTTGTGCGTGCCCCTTTTCCCGTTCGAGGATAATCAACACAACGCACCGCAAAAAGGGTTAAGGGTTCTATTTGTCTGTGTGCGAATGTTGAGGGCGTTGAGGGCGGCCAATCATCATTAAAATTTTGGCCCAAATTAGAGTTGAAATAAAACAATTTTTGGCCTATTTGCTTTACGCCCTGTCGATATTTAGTTTTGGTTTTCATTTCATTCTCTTCTTTTTTTGCTAGTCTGTTTTTGTTTTCATTTTAGCCCTCGGTTCTGTTTTGTTGGAGTTTTGTTTTTGTTTGGTTTTATTTGGTTTTTATTTTTGGGTCATTTTACGGTTGAGCGCAATCACAATAAATGCCATGGGTTAGAACAGGGTTTCTCTAATGTTCTTTATTGTTTTTGTTACTCCTGTTGCTGCTGATATTATTGAAATGAATGTTGCCTGTTATTGTTACCATTGTTTTTGTATTTTAATAAAATTACCTTTTCGGTATGCGAAGGGGCGTATGCGGGCCTTGAGTTGTCAAAATGTTCGATGTAACAAATTGCGTTGAAAACCGCAAATGCAAAATTGTGTATACTTTCAGCCCTCCCATACATATTCAAATTTATATATATGTATGTACATATATATTTATACACACCCACACTGGCAATTGCTTAGCATATTCAATTTTAATTATTGTTGAAACCTATTTCAGCAGGAAAATCCCCGCCTGTATGTCCTGTGCCTCCCATTTAACCGTTTCTCTAGGCGAGAAACCGTAAATAATGTTTACATTTTGATTGATCAATTTTATGTTGTGGGCCCGAAAATTGTGTTTTCCCCCTTGGTTGTATGCAGATTTGGTTATTTGGCATTGTTGGGGTAACAATTTCGGCTTGGCAAATGTTGTGATTGAATAAAGATCCAAAGAGTCTCTGATTAAGTAAACGGCAAACCGAAATCGAAAGTATTTTCTGGTACTGTGAAATATTCGGTAATGGGTCTCCCTTTTTAAGGTAATCAATAATGCAGTTTTTCATTGCTAGAAAATGATTCACTTTTATTTCTGGTTGTATAATAAGTACACATAAATCGACCAGAGTTCGAGGAACATTGAAAAGCACTTACGAAGCGCACAATACCGTCACCGTATTTAGGCCAAATAATTTCGGTTTTTATTTAGCTCTCCTTTGACTACTTTTACCCTGTTCCATGGCGAATTTCCTTTCCTGTAATTGGTCTGTTTTTGGTGTTGGGTATATTGGACTGGGTCACAGTTCATTTAAATTAGGTTAATTAAGAATTTTAACTTAAGATTACTTGATTATGATTTATGATCTAGACTTGTATGTCTGTTTGTTTCTACTCGAATAATTCTTTTAGTATTCGAGTGTCTGAGTGAAAATATGCTAATATTATTTTCCTTAATTTTTCAGGTAAGTTGCACAGATGCTGCCAAATCGAACAACTATATGTTATGCGAGAAAAATCTGACAATACAAGGAGATTGCCTAGTACGTTAAACCATTAATCTCATAACTTAATTGAAAACTGAAAATTAGGATCTGTCTTCTGCTCCATTTTGCACCGATGGGGTTTATGGTAGTCGATACATTTCCTGAAAGCTTTCTCATCTTATATAAATCTCCTCTTTATATAAATCTGTGCATAAAATATAGGTACAAGTAATATTTCAACCATTTAGTGGCAGAAGCAGAACCAATACCGAAACCAGGAATTTGCATACTTTCCTATGTTGGTCCTGCTCCTCGTCCTTTCCTAGCTCCTTTCTCTCTCTTGGTGTATCCTTCCCTTTCGCTCTAACACACATGGGCAGCAAGCCCATAAATCTTTGTGACTGGCGGGCAACTTGAAACTCAAACAGCTTCTCTTCTGCATTTGATTCATGAATAACTACCCGTTCGCACCGCCGCTCTTGTTCTTTAACTTTCCAATTTTGATAGATTTCCCCTTTAGTTGAATGGAGTTCATATTGAAATACTGTCCGGAGTCTCCCCTCCGATGGCAGTCTGCATTTGTCATGATCCCCATAACTACTTACACATACTTATTTCGTTGGAAGACATTTCAATTCAGGAGACTTCGTGTCCTGCAGCTTAACTCGTGCAATTAAAGGCAAATCAAATAATAATCCAATGCATGGCCCTGAGTCACAGGCTTGCCAAATATTATGCAGGGACATCAACATTGTTTCAAGCAATTTGACAGTGGCCAGGACCAAGAGCAACAGCAACTACAGTAATAATAATAATAATAATAACCAAACACTGAGCACAAGGATTCCTTCGCCTTGCCTCATGCTTGCCTAAGTAAGTTAATATGCCATTTGAATGTTGTGATTTTGAGCTGGCCCAGACAGACTGCAATGAATTTTAATTAATTAAAGATTGTTTGTGTTCAACTCTCACGTAATGTGAATTAACCACAATGTCGGACTACTTGCTATCTGGCGGGTTGCCCCTTGCAAACACTTGATTGCCCTAAGGTTTGGGGACAGAAACCCAGACCAAATATTTGTGCAACAGCAGTTGGGCATATTTTGATTTTGCAACATTCCCTAATATTGGTTTCTGGGAAATATATATTTCATATGAAATATCGCAAGAAACTGGCTAACATTCACTTGATGAGCTTGTTGTGTGGCACTAGCCCGAGACTGCGGTTATGGCTAGGTAATTGCGTTATAATTGTATAAAGCTTCGTTATTTGATTTCTTTCTTAAGTTTCTCAGTAAATCAATCTATAACTTACAAGGCTCGACACCTTAATCTGGTGTTTTAGGTGCACTTAAAAATTTAAACACAAAACAATGACCTTTTGCCAGATGCCTAAAGGGTTCAAGTGAAAAGAAAGAAAGTTCAAAGAATTGAATGTCGAAGGTTAATAAAAGTCAGGTTTGGACCAACATATGTTGCCTGAGAAGTGGACTGAAATGCTTAAAGTTTGGCCCTCGACAACATTGTTGTTCCCATAATCTAACATTCAGAGAGGGCCAAGAGCGGATCCTGGTCGGGGTATCATCATAAACGTTTATTACGCCCATAAATAGGTGAGAAATTACGGTGTTTGTTTTTCAGCTTTAGTCGACGTAGCAGCAACTTTTCTTTGAGTTTCATCTTTTGCTGCAATTTTGTTGCCTCACTCAGTTTTCCTTAATATTCCTTGGCTCTCTCTTTGAGATACTTAAAACTGGCCGCAAATGATGAAATACTTTACCTTTCGCCAAAATTCTTGCTTTACAATGTTGGCTTCTTCCTTGTCATCCTTGGTTTAAACACAAAGTTATCGAGCAGGAAACTAATTCAATTATAAGTAAGTACATTTTAGTTTGAGCGATCTTTAAGACTCTTATTACTGCACTTTCAAACATAATTATTCTGCTAAAATTACTCCAAGACGTCAAAAATATTTGATCAAAGAAAATATAGTCCATTGGGGTAAGGTCTCTATATAAAACATTTTAAACAGTAAATACTGAGGGAGTATTTAATGATTGACTTAATTAGAAAAATGTTTAATTTCTTACTTTTTCCGCCTAATTAGAAAATTTAAGCGGAGAGAAAGAAAAAATGCTAGTCAAAGGCGGCATTTGTTGTCTGTCAACACTCTTTGGCTGAGGCATTTCATAAAAAATATATCACATCGTTTGGGTATTGTGAGAAAAGTCGGAAATTAGCCTTGGGTTGAAGCTTTCTTTCTGGATTCTGGATTTCTGGTCACATTTCGCGGAACATTTGCTGCCAAGCATAGATTTTTCACACTACCATATAGGGGGTATTTCCAGAGTGCCAATGGTATGGGCTTCAACAAATGGAGGTACGGGAAACGGAGGCGTGGTAAGTTGACAAATGAGCGGTAATTTGTTGCGACGTAAATTTGAATGGAAGCGCCTTGATTGCCACTTGAGACATTTGTGTGGCAACAGCTGCCAGCGAAAGGGATTCCTCTCGGTCTCGGTCTCAGTCTCAGCCTCTTTTCCACTCCCGGTCTCGGTCCCAGTCCCTTTCCCAGACCCAGCTACGCTCTCAGTCCCATTTTCCGTTCAACTTCGGTTCCAGTCTGCTCTCATCCTCCGGCAGGATACTCAATTTTCCAACAGCGCCGGATATGCAAATTATAATGATATATTGGCTGTGAAAAATTTGCGCGACAGAAGCTACCCTCCCGAAAAAAAAACGAGAATGGCTGCAAGGAAAGTTTTCAGGCAGAACTTACCGCTTAGCCAGGCCAAGAAAAGATGGATATCTCAGGCATATTGGTCCAAGCTGGGGGCAGGTTACAGATTGTTAGTCTTCGGTGACAAATGGGATTCATTTGGAAATGGTCTAGATGATAACTATGAGATTTATGCATTTCTTCAAAATTAATTTAGTTTGCTAGAAAATGTGAGGAATCAATATTTGTTCATTTATTTAATTAAATTTGTTATATTGGTGTATTTAAAAAGTTAATTACTATAAAGAGAATAAGCATGTCTCCTTAGAAACTCTAATATTATTAACATTGCTTTTGGTTAATTATATATTAAATAATATAGAATTATGACTTAATCTTTTCCTTCTATTAAAATATTAGTTTGACAACTTGACAATATCTTTTTCCATTTACTGAGTTCCTAAATTCTATAATTTTAAAGAGTATCAAGCTATTCTTTGCCATTTTTCTTTCCAATATTTTGTTGCCTTTTGTCTTTTGATGCCGCCGACATGGCTTAGGATTACCGCTAACGGTAATAAATAGACCTGCCACGCGTGTGTAATTTAGACGGGACAGAGCTCAGGGGACAGGGGGGAGATCCCAGGATCCCAGGACATCGTGGATCAGTTAAAAAGGAGTGAGACGGCTATGGCAGCCATGTCGCGGTCGTTGACAGTAATGAAATTATGACATTGCTAATAACAGCGCCTGCCGACGTGGCCAAGTATTACTCAGTTCTTTGTTGTTGCTGCTGCCGAATTTCGTCTTGGCCAAAAGCCTTGAAATATGATTAGCCGGCATTTGCCACCTGCCTTCGCAGAAACCCTTTTTCGAGGCGTCCGAAATACATTTTTTTCTTCCTCTCCAGCCGTCAGTTGTTGTAATTTATATTAATTAAAATTTACGCTGATGAAATGCCGTTGATTAGACTTAAAAGAAGCTTCCAGACGAAGCGAAATGAAAACTGGCGAAAGGGAAGAGTAATCTGAAGGCAAAATGTTGGTTTTTTTTTACATTTTAGCCAGCTCTTTTACCCAAAAGGAAGAATAAATATGTTTGAATTAATATATAACAAAATTAAAAAATAGGAACTAGAATAACTTGTATTCCTATTTCAGGGTTCTAAAGGTTAAATCCCAATCGAAACGAAAAAAAAACAAAAAAATTTAATTGAAAGAGTAGTTGTACATGCACCACTCACATTAAATCTAAATCTGTTGAATTTCTTCTTTGGCAACCATAAAATACCATCTGAAGTGGCCATAAAAATTTAGTTTTCATGTTTTACTCTTATTACCAAGAGCTGCTGACGGCGCAAATGGCAAAGAAATCTTTTCCATATGTCATATGCAAATCGAACTTTTTAAAAAATGTCCCATAGCTGCACAATATGGCTGGACTTGTGGCAGAGCCAAAAAAATATAAATTTAAAAAGTATTGGCATGCAACTAAGCAGAATCCCCAAGCCATGAGAGGATTCTGGCAAAAAGTAAGGACTAAGCTCTGCCTTGGGCTGTCACAAATATCTCAACCTTTCATAAGAGAAAATCTAGCTTACAGTAGAAATTCAGGTAATACATATAAAATATAAATTTAACCAATTCGCTTTAGAATATTTACAATTTTTTAATTTTCATTTCTTAATAACAATTAAATAGGAGATTATATTTCATTATTTAAATTTTTTGGGCAATGTTCTCCGGTTTACATAATAGCTAAACGACGTTTCTCTGGCGTTTTCACTTTTTATACCAATTATGAAATAGATTAAAGTTTAAGCTTAAAGGTATCAATCCCTTTCCCTGTGGATAGTTACAATTAACAATGATGAGGTGGACACTTGCTGCTGCAGCTGATGATGATCGGGTTACGAGCTCGTACATTTGGTTGGCGAGGCAGCTGCTCCTCCGCAAGCTGGCTGAGTGCTACAATAAATCACTGTGGGGCATTTCTTTAGCTTTTGCAGCAGCTCTGGCTCATGTCTTTCGCTATTATTTCGCTTGACATTGCGCTTGTCTTCCATGTCCCGGCACCAGTTTCAGCTAGAGTCTCAGGACCCAGTCCCAGTCGCAGTCCTAGTCCCAGTGCATTTGTGTCAGCGAGCACATAAGGCAGCTGGCTGGCGCTACTGGCACTGCTCTAAACCGACATTGAGTTACATGCAACAAACGTATTTTGACAAGTGAACATGCACAGGGCCAAGAGACAGACAGAAGAGGGCTAGGACCGGAGTCAGCCATTCATGCAATATGCGGGCGACCGAGCCGATTCCACCGACATGTCCAACATGACACACATGGAGCATAAGCTGAAGGACCGGGAGAGTTATGGGGCCATTCGCTTGTCGGGGGGCTGGGCTAGCTTGAGACATTTGCTGCTGCTTAAATTACTCAAAATTTATGCATGTACCCGGCTCTGCTGCCCCCAAAGAACGCCTACCAAATGAATTCTTGGCCCAGGCCTTCCACGTTTCTCCTCCTCGTAAACAGCAGCCAGCGCCTTGGCTAAAAGTCAATTTCATGTCATGCGGGAAACAGGGTAGGAAGACTCATTTTCTTCCTGCTAGCACAAATCAATATTGCTTTGCATAATCAAAAGCAACAGTTAGCCGGAAATCCTATCAAAAGGATTGTACAGGCAGGCAGTGCCAGAAAACGAGAAAGGAAACTTACTTTGGCAAAGCGAAATTCATATATCCTTGCATACTGCATTGCTGCTTATGCTCATCAAGAATATATGTATATGATTTATACAGTTGAAAACGACTTCTTCACAGAATTACAAACTTCTGACTAAAATCATAATATCCTTCAAGCACAGAATCAGTTTTAGTTCCAGGAAAATGCTGTCTTATTTTTAGTTGAAACATTGCCAAGGGACGTAATAATAACGGAATACTTATTAATTCCTAGAATGCTTCCTGGAAATAACTTGTATTTCAAGAACTATATTTAAGAGGAATTAATAACTAGTCCTATATATTTTATATTGCTAGGAAACACAAACAGCTCTTGAATTTATATCCAGGACTTCGTACGTCATACCGAACCATTTCCCTTTTCCACCTTAAATATTAATAGACTTCGAGTTGTTTTAAAATGCCAACAGAAGACAAACTACAAATTGACCCCGGCGGTACTGTATTGTCTTTACATTTTTGCATATTGTGTAAATATTAATGCTCCTTGCTGCTGCCATCACCATCTCGGGATCATTAATCTTTCTTAGCTGGAAATGGAGTCGGAAGTGGGAGCACGTGCCCGGTGTTCTTTAGGCCTCGCGACCTGCCCGAAAATTCTTCTCGGCATTCCAACAACTGTTGTCACCTGGCCAAGGGGGGAGCATTGTGCCTGGGAACAAAAAAAGAACAAAGGAATCTTTCTCCTCGTCAGTTGTTAGCCATGATTAGCGCGGCCACCAAGTGATGGCCAGAGCAGGGGGCTTTGCCTTCGGCTCCTCTTTGTCACACGGTCCATTTTGTTTGCCATTTGTGATGATAAATCGCCGGAGGCTGAGGCTGCTGCAGGTCATAGGTCAGTTATTGGATATATTGCAAATATGCGCGCTGCTCATTTGATTGATGGTCTGTTGACTTTGGCTGAATTTGTTTGATTTGCAACTGGAGCTGGCTGAGGCTTTAAAGCCGCACCGTGTTTAAATGGCCCACACACATGGCATGGAACCTCGTACAGGTTTTTAGCCGCTGGCAGCCGAGCTTCTTCTTCTTCTGCGTCTCAGGCTGGGACTGGGAGTGGGACTGGGGCCCATAGGCAAATATGAAAAGATCATAAATTTTCATTCAATTTAATGCCTCAGCAAACAATTTTTATAGTCGGGGCAAAACTGTCAGAGGACTTGGCTGCAGTCAGAGTTTTGAGCTGCTGGCAGCTGTTTTAACAGCTTGTTTTGTGGCCTCTTTCATAACACAAATACTGGTTCATACATGCATATACATACATGGTAGACTCGTACATTTTATGTGGGCGCCCATTTCATACATGATAGCATAAATGGCTCAATGCAAAGTTGTCTGGCAAAAGGAGCCCCACCGAGGCACCAGCGCCAGGACCAGGACCAGGACCCTTTCAAGCAGCCGCAATTCCGACGGTTCGGCTCCAGTCCTGCAAGTTATTGACTTCAAAATGGCTGGGGCGGAAAACAAAACATCAAGATACTCCTGGTAAATAAATAAGCCAACGGGACGCTCCAACTTTACGCATCTGGAGCCAACATTTTTAACCTGATCTTTGCTGACAGGTTGGAAATTGCAGTTGGCAGGAGAGAGAGAGTAATGTTATATAATATATCTGAAATCTGATATTCAGTTTATATAAGCTATCTTTCTTATCTCTATATTATTAGATTCATTTAGAATAAATTAGACCAATTATATTTGTTTTCTAATAATTTCTAACAATTGAAATATCCCCATTAAAGCTATGACAGGTTTATATTGCATATATGTTCACTAAGCTTACAGTTGCGCAACTAATTAATACATCGCCGTTAAACTCAGCGACAGCTGAAAAGTATTCTAGGGATTTTATTTGGGAAGCTTCTAAGCTTTGCTTTAGCCTGCTCTGCTGGTCAGTCCCCTCTTTCTGGTTCCAGTGCATATCATAAATCACAAAATTAATCCTTCTTGAGTTTATTAGCGAACATTGACGTGGCTCGTTATCTGCTCTGTCCCGAAAACAGAGGGGGACAGACAATAGCAACCATAAATTATGCGCACATCGAGATTCGCTCCCTGTTCTCCACTCTAATAAAGCCGGACATCTCGTCTAAGCCCGATTGGTTAGTGGCCTAGTCCAGCAAAAGCATTTGATTCGCTTAGCTCGGCGAAACTTTGAGGCAAACAGCTCACCCGCGAGATGATAAACGATTTGCCATTTGATTTCGAACCTCAAGGCTCCTGGTTCAATGCACAGACCTGAGTTTCAAAATGCAAATGTCTCGATATAATAAATATATGAAAATATTAGCAGAAAGGAAGGTACAAAGTCTAAGGCCCGTCTAGACAGAACCAATGTGGTTGCCAATGATTAAGTTCAAAAAAAGGCTGATGAAGATGGTACGTGTGTTTCATCGCCTTCAAAGCAAAAATCACAGCAGGTGGCAATGAAAAATTGCATGTAAATACAAGAGTTCAAGGTATCTTTGTAACCTCGTAGAATGTTATTACGAGTTTTTAATGCGGCAAGAGATAATAAGTCA